GCCAGTACGTTTACTTTACAGCCTTACATGAGAACTTCCCGGCCCGGAAGGCCCGGTATCAAAACTCCTGTAGAACCAAATTTTGAGCACTCAATATAATTTTTTTTGTTTTTTTTTTTTGGATTGTTTGTCTGATCGAAAAAAAATCACATAAGGGTCCCCTTATGTGTTTTTTGAAAATTTCAAAACTTGTGAAATGACGGGCCCGCCGGGCCGAACCGGGCCTCCGAAATTCGGGAAAAAGCCCGGCCCGTTACAAGTTTGCAAAAAATAATGGAAATTTAATTGCAGAGCTCAATAAATCAGTATTTAAAGACTTCTTATTCTTTTTCTTCTAGAGTTTATTCGGTAATTTCATTTTGGAGACAAACCATTTTTTTAATGTAAAAATTGAAACTGAAAGAACCGAAAAGATGTGGGAGTGTTTTCAATGAATTTAAAAAACACAAAAAAGAAGAAGGGAAGGAACAGAGAATACTGATTAGGTGGATGGAAATAGTAAAAAAAAACGTTTTCAAGTTTTCAATAAAAAATTTTGAATAAAAAAAAATCGGGTAAATTAGAAATTCAGTCATTCAAAATCCAATAAAATTTGGAGACCATGAAAGTACCTTTGATTCTCATGATTTTCAAAAAGTTAGAAAGTGGAAAAATTCGGAAGAAACGAGAATTTCTGAAATTTGCAGAATTTCGAAATGGGAGGACTTTCAAAAATTCTGAAATGTGTGAGGATTCAGAATACAGGATTGGAAAACAATTTTACAATGAAACACAAAATTCAAAAAATTTTAGATATCCAGAAAAGTGTCTGCAAACTAGAAACTTAGGAACTTTAGAAACTTAGAAATTCAAAGAAAATCGGAGAAAACTAATTTTTCTTGATGTTTGACATGATCAAATACGATTATTCGCGAGGTTCATCATCAGATATCTCAAAAAGTGGCAGAAAAGATTAATCAGGAAGCAGTTTTCACAGAAATTTTCCATTTGGTCATGATTTTTTATTCGTCATATAAAATGGGAATTTTAGTTCCGACTCTTTTTTTTTCGAAAATTCCCAATTTTCAGCAAATGACATAATTGCTTCGAACTCAAAAACTTCGTCTAAATTTTTTCGTTTTTTGTTAATTTTAGCCAGAATTTTTAACTTTTTAAAATTTTTTTAGCGAGAATTTTAAGGGTAAATCGAAAATCTGAAATGTGAAAAAATGTATCGATTTCAGAATTTGTGACTGAAAATTTATATCCCAGTGCCTATGCAGCCACATGTTTTATCCAAATCGATAAAAATATTTTATCACAAAAAAACAAAACCCAACTGAAAAAGATAATCGTCAGATGACAGATTATCTTTTTTTTTCTCAATAATTTTCTCTTTTGACTGAAAAAATGTTATTGAGGTGAAAAATATAAGATTTAGAAAAACTAAAGTAACATTTTTGGAATCAGTGACCTAACTTTTATAGTTGGGTTGTCAATGCCACCAAAATTTGCGGTTCATTTGGAAAATCAACATTTTCAGGTATTCAGAAATTCAGTAAATCAGTGTTTCAGAAACCCTGAAATTCGGAAATTCAGAAATTTCAATATGTTTTTAAACTCCAAAGGAATTTTCCAAAATTAGAGGAATTCCAGAAAATTCAAAAAATCTTAGAAAACTGAGAATATCAAAATATGAGCAAAATTGACAAAAAGAAAAAAAGAACAATTTTTAAGAACAATTTTTTGCTCAAATTGACAAAAAGAAATAGAAAATTCAAAAGTTGCTGGCTGTCTTCTTGAGAAAAGCGGAGTTCATGCAAGTTTAATGAAACACTTTTTTCTCTAATTTTCAATTTTTCAATTCACTTTTTTTTTGAAAAATTTTTTCCATTTCGAGAAGGTCAAAAAGAGGGAGAGCAAATATTCCATTTTTGATCATTTCGAAAAATTGGAAAGTTGAAATATACTCTATTTGTGGGTTGTGGCCTAGAAAATAAAAAAAAAGCATTTCTAGGCCATGTTTATACTCTTTTTGAAGCTCTAGTTAAATTCAGTTCACAAAACATGCGTCGTTTTTCGAAAAATATCAATATTCAGTCAAGTTACGGTCATTTGAAGTTTGGTGGTCTAGAAAACCAAAAAAATCGAGATTTGGAATTCTGGGCCATGTTTAAACTCATTTTGAAGCACTTATTAAGTCGAACTTTGAAAATTTTTCAGTTTTCAAAAATACAGATTAATATAAAAATACAGATTAAAGATTTTTAAAAATTTCAAAAAATAATTGGCTGATTTTAATCTATATAAATTTCGAAAAAATGATTCTAGCTCGTTTGATTTTCGGATTCTTGAATTGTCTAAAAATGACATCATTTTCCAACAAAAAAAATGTTCGAAAAAAAGAGTGATTGAAGTGACACCATTTTACTATTTTTGCCTTCTCCAGTAACAAAAAAGGAAACATTTCCGGTGAACAAGAAACTTGAGCATTTTGTCATGAGCACAGAAGAAGAAATTTCTGAATTTTCTCTTCTTTTTTTGGAAGAGAAATCACAAAAATCAACCACGAGACCGGCGTTTTTTTCCGGTTTCTTGAGTGTTTTGGAGTGAAAAGATTAGAGATTGAATTTCAGATTTTCAGAATCTAAAAATACAGGAATTTCCAGATTTTTAGAATTTCAGGATCTTCGAAACTTAAAGGTCGAAGCAAGATGAATACAGAAATTCAGAAATTCAGAAATTCAGAAATTCAGAAATTCAGAAATTCAGAAATTCAGAAATTCAGAAATTCAGAAATTCAGAAATTCAGAAATTCAGAAATTCAGAAATTCAGAAATTCAGAAATTCAGAAATTCAGAAATTCAGAAATTCAGAAATTCAGAAATTCAGAAATTCAGAAATTCAGAAATTCAGAAATTCAGAAATTCAGAAATTCAGAAGTTCAGAAATTCAGAAATTCAGAAATTCAGAAATTAAGAAATTCAGAAATTCAGAAATTCATAAATTCAGAAATTCAGAAATTCAGAAATTCAGAAATTCAGAAGTTCAGAAATTCAGAAATTCAGAAATTCAGAAATTAAGAAATTCAGAAATTCAGAAATTCAGAAATTCATAAATTCAGAAATTCAGAAATTCAGAAATTCGGAAATTCAGAAATTCAGAAATTCAGAAATTAAGAAATTCAGAAATTCAGAAATTCATAAATTCAGAAATTCAGAAATTCAGAAATTCAGAAATTCAGAAATTCAGAAATTCAGAAATTCAGAAATTCAGAAATTCAGAAATTCAGAAATTCAGAAGTTCAGAAATACAGAAATTCAGAAATTCAGAAATTCAGAAATTTAGAAATTCAGAAATTCAGAAATTCAGAAATTCCAAGAAGTTCGAAAATATGAAATTTCGGAAATTCGAAATTAAATAAAAATTTCGGGAAAGAGAAAAAAGTGGAAAAATGTGGGTGAAAAAATAAAACAACTAGAAATCCAAATTTTTATCTTTATTTTTAAAGTCTTCTTTTTTCATAATTCTGGTGATGACACATTTATCCTATTCCATATAAATCACTAAACTTTTTTCTCTTTTTTTATCGCTTCCTTTTTCGCAGAGTCCTCTGAAAATGACGCTATTAAAAAACTCAAAGCGAAAATCTCAAAGCCAGTTTAAAAATGAAAAAAAAATACAAAAAAGAAAATTTTTGACAGACAAGACTTTTGTTATTTTTCTCTTTTTTTCTCTTGCAGAGATTTTTCCAGAAAAGCAGACACAATATCAGTTGATTTTTTCAGCAAAAAAACAGGACAAGAATCAAATTGCTGAAGCGGAAAATTTTTTTTGAACTGTTTCGACTTTTCTGAAATTCTGGAAGTTATAAGATTTCCGAATCTTAGATCACTTTTAAAACTATAATCTGATTTAAACTTCTGAAGAATACAGATAATCGAAACTAAAATTCAAACTTAAAATGAAATTTCAAAATTTTTTGGTATTTCTTTGAAAACCAACAAAAGCATTCATACTTTTTTTCAAAAAAATCCATATAGTGTATTTTTTTTTCTTCCCGAGAAGCTGTGATAGTGGCTACTAGAAAAGATAGATATTATGGCGGAAATTGAATGTGTGGATTGAAAAATATGACGGTGGTGTTGGAGATGGATGATGGCTCACGGATTAGAAAGGGAAAAAATGGGGAAAAATAGTCGAAGGATTAATAATCGGGATTTGGTTATCCATGATAAAGTAGTTGTGATAGGTTGGAAGGATTTCAATAGAAACAATAGAGTTACTTTTTCCGAAAAAAAAGTAAAGAATCTCAAAGAACATAATTTGTGATTAAAGGAGGGAAAAAATCGTTTTCAATCCAAAAACCGGCAAAAGGGTGTCTTCCAGAAATCGGCAAATAACTGAAAAACTAGGAATTTTTCAAAAATTCTACGAATGTTAAGTTTTCAATCTAGGTCTGTCTTACGTTCTCCAAAAGGTTTCAAAGTGATCGGAAACTTGGCCGCCGAGCTTCAGATTCCTGAAAATGGTCGAAATGGCCTAAAATCCATTGAAAAAGCCTTTTTGTATATCTTATTGACCGGTACTGTATGTTCGGATATTCTGGATATGTTCAACTTACGAAAGTTGATTGGAACAAAGCTTTAGTAATTTTGAACCAAATTATGTTCAAATTATCTATTTTTTCGGTTAACGTTTGACATAAATAAGTCAAGGAGAAAGTAAAAAACCGATTCGATTGATATTTTTTGTGAGAGGAAAAGGGGCGGGGCTTGTTGCACCTGTCTGATCCCGCCCCTTTGGGAAACTCCGCCATCATCCGACATTAGGCTTATTTCCATTAAATTCAAAATATCTAATTTTCCAGATTGTTTTTTCATCTTTGTGAAATTCGAAAAAAATTGAAATATGTGAAAAATTGAAATTCTAAAACTCCAAAATGTTTGAAAAAAACTACAATTCAACACTTTGATTATCAAATTTAAAAAAATTTATTAGATTTTCAACTGATAACTTTATCAATAGCATTCATAGTTCTTGATCCGTTTCTCCTTGACCAATTTGTTCATTCCGTCTTCTTCGTCTTCCAATTTCCAACACAATCCTGTTGAAACTGCAATAAAGTATATAATTTGAATATTCTTACACCAAAGAAATACAATATATCAAACTCACACAAAAAATAGCAAAAGTAGAATGGTCCAACGATCCTCAATAAGCATTCCAATACGAACAAATTGATATTTTGATCTTCAAGAAAACTGAGAATTCCACAAAAATGGGCACAGACAAAGAATCGCAACCAAATAAGACGTTTTGCCGTTGATGTTGGAATATCACTAATTTCATGAAGACCGCATTGAAGTTTGACATAATGTGTGTAGCAGACGATGAATAGGGTTAAAAATGTTTGAGATTTTAAGAGAAAACTGATAATTTCCATTTTATCTGGATTGATGTAAATGAAGATGTTGGTGAATGCTAAGCAAGACAAATAGAACAGGATGTCGAGAAGATAGAATATCCAATAGTAGATAAATTTCCGTTGTTCCAACTCATCGTTTTGTTTCATTTTTTTTTGTTGAAAAAATCACTCTAAAAATGAAAGTTTAATATACATTTATTTGATCCCCTAACTTTGAGCCAATTTATCTCAGTACCTGTCAAAGGTATAAAAAATTGGTCAAGTGATAAATTGTTCATCATAATATAAAAAATAATTTGTCAGCTGACACATTTTTGATATCTTTCGAAGAAACCGAGATAAATCATCTCAGAGACGGTACGATATTTTCGGGTAAAAAGTCTAGCAGTCCCCCAAAAATTCGGATCTTGGTTTGGAAAATTCTTTTTGAAAATTAAAACAAAGGGAGTTCCTTTTTTGAAAAAATAAGTCAATTACAGAGCACGGTACTTTGAAGTATAGGGGCTAGAGCTGCAGACGACAAGGCACTCTAATTGTCTGCATCTCTCCAAAACTTCAAATCACTGTATCTCAGCTTCTAGATGAACTAGAACGTTGGTTTTTAGACGGAAACGAAGTCTAAAAACCAGATTTTTGAAATTCCTACAGACTGTGTACAACTAGATACCACACTTCACGGTCTCCCTAGCTCAAGTTCGAACTTCAAACCTTCTTTTTCTTCCAAATGAATAATTTTCTAGGTTTGTTTAAGTGATACTGTATTGTTTTTATTGAAAATTGAAAACTATAAAACAGTTAGAATCACTAACCTTTTATTTCCTATAATATTTAGAAAGAGTAGAATTTCCAAAAATGGGAAGTATAGTCGAAATGAGCTAGTTGCTCATAGATACCACCGGGAGAGAAGGGAAGAGAAGGGAAGAAATTAGCAATTAAAGGATTATCTTCGAAAAGTGAGGAGCAGTCTCATGACTGGATACCCCCAGAAAATATCCTTAATTGCTTAATCCTTCCAAACATCATTAAAACTCAGAAATTCCGAATTCCAATATTCCCAAACATCAGAAATTCAGAAACCGTTAGAAATGGTGACAAAAGTTCTGAAGTTCTTAGTTTTAGATTTCAGACTTCCATAAAATCAGTGTTTGTAAAATTCTGTGAAAATTCGAAAAATTCCATTTTTTTCTATATTTTCAGGTTTCCATAAAAACAGTGCCTGGTGTTTTTCAATTCATAAGAGATTCAGATCTTCAGAAGATTTTTCCTCCGTCAACTAGTTGTTGATTTTCCCAAAAAACAAATCCAGTTTTACCTAAAATAAGTTCAACTTTCCCGTCGTGACGTCCTAAAAATTTTTTTCCAACCATCACATCAAAAACACTTGACAAAAAAAAATCCTGAACTATTTCGATATTTATCATGTCAGAAGCGATCACAGCTTCACAAGAACGTTCGATGCTTCATCAAAATGTAAGTGTGCTCTGTTGGACTTGAAAAAGCGCTTTTTCAAAATTCCCACTTAAAATTAGCCTGGCGAGCAATAACCTTGGAGAGATGATTTAGAAAATTTGCATTCACTTTTCTTCCCAAATTATTTTCTGCGATTCTGAATCTGACGTCTTCACCACGGGCGCGGGAAGTAGTCGAAGGGTGTAGGAAAAGCCGTCAATATGAACGCCATCTCCACCTCTCCTGCTTGTTGGGCTCCGTGGTTTAGTGGCTAGCGCGCTAGACTTTTGCCCACGCGATGCGGGTTCGAGTCCGGCAGGTGGCATATCCTTTTTTGGATTTTTAAGGGTTTAGAAATGATTTTAGTCAAAAAAAAAGTGCAACCCCGCTCTATTGGACTTCCTTCCAGAACACTGCTCCTCGATCTACACAATTAAATAGCGGAACCAAGAAGAATAATGGATTTTTGTCGACATTAGCCAGCTACTTGACCTCCACCGCTAAAAGCGATCCAAAGCCAATTGGTAAGGGATGACCGAGGATTTTTCTAGTCCATGAAATTTTCCTTACAGTAATCCCTAAGAAGCCGCTGATGACGTCCTGGGATGATGTGGATTTTGTGAAATTGAATAAGTTGGTGTGCAATGTGCTCTACGAACCTAACAATCATTATGAGCCACTGTAAGTGTGTGGGGTGTTCGGTAGAGCGAATTTGAAATTTTTGAAGAAAAATGGAAATTTTTTTTTGAGATTTTCAGAATTTCTGAAATTGAAAGAGTGGTTGGTAGAAGACGTGAACACTGCTTCTATGCTGTCGTCGGAACGATTTTGGTCCTGATTTTGCTACACGATGCAGTTGGAGCGATTACTGCTTTCATGGTATTGGGAATTTTTGGAATTTTGAAATTTTGAATTTTAAAGTTTTTGAATTTCCGAATTTCTGAAATTCTGAATATTAAATTTTAAATTTTTTTTCAACAATTTTCAAAATATTTCAGACCCTTCTTGTTCCCACATTCATGACAATTTCTTCGATAACTACCACATCTGAAAACTCTGAAATTCAAAATCGCGAAAATTTTTTCATCCGCTACTGGACCGTCTACGCCGTTTTTGTCACTGGAGAATCGTTTTTGGCTTCGTTCGTTTTTTTTTCAAAAATTTTCAGAAATTTCCAGAAGTTTGCAAAATTCCAAAAAAAAAGTTTCAGACTGATCCAATGGGACCTTCGTCTGTTTCGCTTGGTTTTCATGTCAATGTGCTTGTCTACTAGAATTCCAGCCCTGGCGGCAAGTTATGGTGGGATTTTTAAAAGTTAATTTCAATGAAAACTCTAGAAAATTAGTTTTTTTCAGCGAAAAAAAAAACAAAAACTTGAAAAATGTATTTTTTCAGATTTTTCAGAGATTTTTCCTGGAAAAAGTTTTTATTCTATTTTTTGTATGTTTTTTCATTGAAAATCCACATCAAAATCACTGAAATCTATCAGTTTTTCGAAACTGCGCAGCAAACGCGCTCCACCGCCTCGCCATCGCCCGTGGAACGTCGGCCGCTTCAAATGCCTCTAATTCATAGTTTCGAGTTCCGCAAAGAGTTCTCAGCGCGGTCCGGAATATTTCTTGCCACAGACCTATGAACCTTCCCAATTAGCATCATGATGATCTTGACCGCTTGACCGCTACCTTGACCGCTGCTTTTTGCCAGTTTTAAAAGGAAATTTTCAGAAAAAATTTGGGAAAAACTTCTTTTTCAGACAAAATTTTGAAATTTTGGCTTAAATTTTCAAATTTTGAAAGTTTTCATGAATATTTTTTCAGCAAAAATCATCGGGGTCGTCACTTCAATTCGAGACACGATCGATTCCAATAATTTTGAGTCTCCGAAATCTGAAAGCAAGAAGACCAGTTGAAAACTCAAACTTTTGAACATTCTTTTATTATAAATTTTTTGAATTTTCAAAAAAAAAACGAATTTTATTACTACAAAACGGACAGAAAAAAAAGAATAATTTATGAAAAAATCGAATTATCGATCTCCATTCTCCGCATAAATCGATGAGCGGTCTCGATCGGAACGATGGAATTCTTTGAGAATTCGATGAAATGTTTTGTCGCGAATCACTTCTTGACACATTTCTAGCCTGAAAATAACTCTTTAAAATTCGAACAAAATGACAAATTTAGATAATTTAGATAAACTTTGAATAGACTTTAAACTATATTTAGTCAATTTTCTAACCATTTCTTCTCATCCATCGCCGCCGTCTCCACCGTAAAATCGTCTCGATTCCTCTGCAACATGACTCTAAGCTGAGCAATATGCTCATCAAACTCATTGAGCATTGTCTCATCGATCTCGTCCTCTCCCTCATACAAATGCTCTCGTTTCACACGAATTTCCTCCAAAACTAGGAGGCATTTAAAGGGTTCTTTTGAGATTTTCAGCCATTTCGAGTCTCGAAATGCCAAACGAAGCAATTGTGCTCTCTCACGAATCACCGATGGAGCCGTGTCGATTGAGCTCGCTTTCGTTTTTATAAAAACTGAAAAATTAGGTTTTTTTCTCAAATTTCCTGGCTTAACGCACCCAAATTCGTCATTCTTTCAATAGAAAGTTTCGGACGGAATTGATGTAACCATGGTCGAATTTGTTCGGATGTTCGAATCGTATCAATGATTGTTTTGTCGAAATGTGTTTCAGAGATAACAAGTACAGTATGACTGATGAATAGGAGGAAAGCGGTGAGGCGAAGAGTCTGAAATTTTGAAATTTTCCATTTTTCGTGTTTGGCAGAAAGTTGGTTTTCTAGGCCAAGAGATGTAAAATGGACCATAACTCTCTTGAAAACCGCTCAGATAAAGTGAAAGTACTACCAATAGATTTGTTAGAGCATATGGAACATTTTGACCTATTTAATTGTTGGTGGCCGAGTTTTGGTTTTCTAGGCCATCACTTAAAAATGGCTGTAACTCGCTTTAAAATTGATATTTTCGAAACTTAAAAGCACGATTATGATTCTCGTGAATTGAGGGATCGTTTGATTTATAATATAAAAAATATAGTAGCCTAACTTTTTGGAAATTTGGTCTTCTAGGCCACCGGATACAAACGGCTGAAACTCGCTTTAAAATCGTGATTTTCGAAATTTGAAAACATCATTAAAGTCCTAGTGAAGTAGGCTATCACCTGACTAAAAGTATGAATATAGTGGTGACCTAACTTTTTCAAAATTTGGTTTTCTAGGCCAGCACTCTAAAATCGCCGTAACTCGCTTCAAAATTGAGATTTTCGGAATAGAAAAACTATTATAATCCTCGTAAACAGAGTAATCGGGTGATCTAGAATATGTCAAATATGGTGGCCTAGAAAATTTGAAAATTGGTTTTCTAGGCCACCAACTTGAAAATGGCGGTTTGGGGCTGTAACTCGCTTCAAAATTCAAATGACATTCAGAGTTTTTTTTTCAATTTTGAGCGTTTTAAGTCAAGGAAAGTGGGCGGAGCCAAATTTGCGCAGTTTTTTTCTGACTCCGCCCAATTTTTGCGGCAAATTTTCTTCTCGGAATCTGATCGCGTCTTTTTGAGTAATTTTGAAGTGAAAAAAGCTGGGAGTATTAGAAAAAAAAATTTTTTCTTTGAAAATCTCTCAAAATTGGCGATTTTCAGGTCTAACTTTTCTACCGAAATTTCGACTGATTTCAGTATAAAACTGTCAATTTTCTCTATAAATTTTTTTCTAAAAACCCCGAAAAATTCGCCGAAATTCCTTACATCACTCATCGCCGTCGCTTCATCTAGCCGTCCTCCTCTCAGTTTCGGTAATCCTTCCATTATCGAAAAACTGTGCATTGGTTGACAATCTAGGAAAATCTGATGATTCGTCACATAAATATCGATTTGTGTCGTTTGGTGACGAGATTGCTCATTCGCTTCACGGGATACCGGACGGAAGACGTATTCTCTAAAAATTCAAAATTTCCCGCCAAACACACAAAAACCAAAATCTCACCTATACATTTGTCTGGAATTATTTCCAGCCAACATACTCAAAATCGTCGATTTTCCGGCTCCCTGCGGTCCGATGGCAGAGATAACGTTGAAATTCGGGCTATTTGTGAGAAGATCCTGGAAAAACGCGCTCTAATGCTAATTTTGCAAAAAAAATCTCAATGAAGCGCACTTTCTAACGCACCGAAATACTATCAGTAATCTCTCCGATATCATTCAAAAATCGCACGGATTCCTTCATTCCACTAGATTTCGAAACTGATGAATCCGGTGGTGAAATTGGTCCATTGTTTTCAGGAATTCCAGAATTTCCAGATGCCGGCGGTGGGCGGGGCTTAATTGCGATTCGTGGAGCAGTCACTGGAGGACTCGATGTACGAGATGGAGCCACCGGTCGTTGTTGAATGACTGGCGTTTTCAAAATTTCCACTTTTTTCATCTGGAAATTTTTTAAAAAATTTTGAAAATATTGAGAAAAATTTTCAGATTAAAAAAAAGACAATTTCATCTGAAAAGAATCATATTTGCCCTCATATGGCTCAAAATGTAAATTTCCATTTTGCAGCAATTTTTTGAAAAAAAAAGAGAAAAACGATACAAGTCTTGCTGAAAAACAATTTTCCCGTGCAAAATTTCCCAATTTCATCTGAAAAGAATCATATTTGCCCTCATATGGCTCAAAATGTAAATTTCCATTTTGCAGCAATTTTTTGAAAAAAAAAGAGAAAAACGATACAAGTCTTGCTGAAAAACAATTTTCCCGTGCAAAATTTCCCAAGTGTACAACCGCGCTCCAATGAACAAATAAATAAAATTCAAATTTTTAGATTTTTCAAGCCTAACTATAAAAATGACATTTTTCGTTCAAAAAGTCATTGAAGTATACCAAAAAGGGTAGAATCAACATAGTTTCTTTTAAACATTATTCAAAGGAAAATAGGTCAAAATAGACCAAAAAAGCAAGCTCATTTTTATTGTACAAGTCCAAAAATCCAAAAAATATGGGCCCAGAAAACAATAGGGGCGAAAAAAAAAGCCAATTATTAGACAGAAAAAAAAGTGAGGGACACAAGTATTGGTGGTGGGGTGTAAATTATGAGAAAAATGCAAGGAAAACGGTATTAATTTGAATTTGGCGGTATTTTGTGAATCAGAAAATTCGGGCTTAAATTGATAGAAACAAGAGACTTTGACGAAAAAAAAGCGAATTTTAATGAATTTAGGCTCAAAATGTGTCAAATTATTTCAGCTTTTCGTCTCAAAAAATGGCGCCAAATTCAAAGTTTCAAAAAAAGAAAAATAGAGATAAATTAGGCGTCCATGGAAACTTGGGACATTTGATCCGACAAATCGACGTCTTCAATCAGCTGATCACAAATCGATGAGAGCTCTTCGACACGTTTCTTCAGCACACGAATCTCCTCGTCTTTACTCGCAATTTCGATATCGTGTCGTTTGACACGAAGACGCAATCCTTTCATGTTGTTCTCGTGATTCGAAACTAGCTCGTCGTACTCGATGGAAGCTCTGCAACATTTTTTGAAAAATTTGAACTTTTGAATTTTCCGAGTTTATTTTGAGCATTTTCAGCTAATTTTGGAACAATTTCAGTCGATTTTTCACCATTTTCAGACAATTTTGGACCATTTTCAGTCAATTTTGAACTAATCCTATTTAATTTCGGATCATTTTCAGCTTACTTAGGATCAGTTTTAGTCAATTTTTGACTAAATTTTCTGAATTTTGGACCATTTTCAGTCATTTCTAGGCCATTTTTAGTCAATTTTTCACTATTTTCGGCTCATTTGGGATGATTTTAAGCCAATTTTAGAGCATGTTTAGTCAATTTTAGATCATTTTCAGTCGATTTTCAGGTCTAATTTCATGTTTACCTCTCCAACTCAGCGTTCGCATTATTCTTGACAGCCAAAAACTTATTCTGCCACTCATCGACTTCTGCGACCGCCATTTTCAGCTTATCCCTAGCGTCTTCATACTCATTGCGAATGTCATTAGCCACTTCACGGACCTGCAAATTTCGGATTTCGATAGATTTTTTAAAAAATTAGAATCTAAGAGCGCTTGGCTAGCGATTTTTCCGATTATAAAAATTTTTGAATGGAAATTGACGATTTCTTAACAAAAATCGCTCAATTACCTGATTATAAGAGGCAAAAAGCGTCGCATAGTTAGCATGGAGCTTCTCGGCCTCGGCTCTCGCCAAATCTCGATCTTTCAGCGCTTTTTGGAGCTCCTCGTTCGATGCTCCGGTGGTTCCGTTGACGGCTCCGTTGACTGGTGTCTGACAGCGTCCCTGGGAGATCACTTCGCCATTCGCACAGCGCCGAACTTCGAATTCTGAAAAAAATTATAGTTATAAATTAAATTTTCAGGGAAATGGATCAGAAAATTGGATTGTAGGTGGGAAAGTGGCGCTGGAAGATGAAATTTAGGGTGAAAATGAAAAATTTTCAGCCATATATTTATTTTTTATTTTATTTTTAATGATCTTAGATCAATTTTTAGACAATTTGAGACCAACACTAGCTAATTCTCGACTAATATTGAGCCATTTTCAGTGAATTTCAGAGAATTTTTGTCAATCTGTTTTGAACCAATATCAGACCATTTCAGACCATTACAGACTGATTTTGAACAATTTTTACCAATTCCAATTTTTACCAATTTTTACCAATTCTGGGTCATTTTCAAGGAATTTTTGATTTATTATTTTCAGCCCATTTTCGGTTCCCAGAGGCTTTAGAATAGCTTCAAACAATTCGATTCATTTTTTTCTCGAAAAATCTCACCATTCGAATACAAAAGTCTTCCGACTTGCTCGGTGAGCAACTTCGACGTATGCTTCAGCACAATGATCTCGGCTCTCGTGTAGCCGAGCAACGTCTCCGGCTCTCTAGTCTCTTGTGATGCTGCTGATCTCGACGGCCGTTCGATTGTCTGTGGCGCATCGCTGAAAACCTCCATATCCTCTTTGATATCGACTGTCGCGTCGTTTTCGTCTTCTCTGGTGAATGTGGAATTCATCTGGAAACATGTTTTTTTGAAAACAAGACAATTTGAATCGAAAAAGAGGAAAGAAACAGGGAAGAAAAATAGAGGAAAATGTTTTTTTCAGGTTTTATATAAATTTTTCTAGAGAAATTGCTATTTTAAACAATTTTTCAGACAAAAAAACACCCGAATCAATTTTTTTTCAATTTTTCCCTACTTTTTCTCGAAATTTCGTAATGTTCCGACAATTTTGCTGAATTCTTAGCATTAAAAACCTCGAAAAAGGGTATTTTCAGATAAAAACCCATTTTTCTCGATGGAAATCGCTGAAAATCGCTAAAAACCAGCTGACAATCGACAGAAAAAAAGTTCAAACGTGGATTTTTCGCGCTGGGTACGGTTTTCGTTGCGAAGTCCTCAAAACTCTTTAGCTTATGCTCCTTTAAATTACGGTATTTTTATTATTATTTTTTTTAGATAATTTTTGCGGATTTTCACAACAAAAAATCAATGTCAGAGACAGAAAAATGCGAGAAAGGGCAAACACCCCGCCAATTCACTGGGTCGCGGACTAGAAAAACGCTAGGCCACGCGGCCAGGACCCCTAAAAGAGGGAAATAATGGGGAAAATAGTTTGAGAATCTAGAAATGGCTCTGAAAAATTCAATTTTGTGGTTTTTTGCATGTTTTTAGCTTAGTTAAATATGTCAGAATTTGAATTTATCGATTTCAGTGTCTTTGCCTTTGGAATTGCGAAATTTCAAGCAATATTAGATCGTTTTTGTCGTCCTATATAAAAATTCAAGAAAAAATATAAGAAAATTTTTTTTCAGTTAGCTAGAACCGATTCAATGGATCTTCTCGGCTTTATCGAAAGAATTGGAGATGGTTTGTTGAAGAAAAAAATTGTGTTGATCAAAAAACCTTTCAGATCCCCCAGATCCTCCCAAAGTGGCTGTCAGCTATCATCAAACAATCCACGTGGATTCAGAATTTCTAGAATGGCCGAATTCTGAAGCGGAATCTGCAGATTTCTCGGCTCCAGAAGCGCCACCTAGTCTTCCACAAGTTCCATCGACTTCTGGAAGTTCTGGAAGCATTTTTCAGCCGATTTCTGATACGCTTTTGGTCTACTTTCCAGACACTTTTGAGGTGAAAATAAGCTCGAAAATTGAATTTATTGTTAAAAACTTCCCCTGAAAAGTTTGAAGTCTAAAAATTTGATTCTGAAAATTTTCAGAATTTTTGGTCAAAAAAAAGTTTTTTTTTTCGAAATTTTTTTAAAAATTTTTTTGCAAAATTTGCCGAAAGTATACATTTGAAATGTGATTTTTTCCATCTAAAAACAAATTTTTGGCATGAAATTGACCAAAAAATTTCAGACAATAACCCAAAATTTGCTGGAAATGCTGTCATCGACGCGTTCCGACAACGATATCCAAAGCGAACTGATCGAGCTACTCGGTTTCGAATTATTCGAATTGGCGGGCGATATTTTGGAGAAACGAAACAAAATTGTCTACGAAATCAAGACGAAAGCGTTGGCGTTGGCTGAGGAAGCCAAACAGAACAAGGCAAAAGTAAGAGTTTCAAGGGTGTTTTTTTGGCGGAAAATCGACTGAAAATTCAGAATTTTCTTGATTCACTCTAGAAAAGGTTATTCCTCGAGGAATTTTCAGTGTGATTACCTAATTTTTTCTAGGCCGCCGTAGCGGATGGATCTAACATTATCCCCTGTGTTTTCTAGACTATTTTGACGTGGTGGCCTAACTTTTCCAACTTGAGTTTTTTAGGCCACCATGTTAAAATGACCTAGAAATGGCCTGATACTCATTTGGTGGGGCTTTTAGGCCGTTTTGAGGTGGTGGCCTAGCAAACTCAACTTGCAAAAGTTAGGCCATCATGTTAATATAGCCTAGGAATTACACCAAAAGAATATCAGGCCGTTTTTAGACCAAAAAAGTTGGTGGCCTAGAAAACTCAACTTGCAAAAGTTAGGTCACCGGCCTGATATTCATTTGACGTGATTCCTAGGCCATTTTGAGGTAGCTGCCTAACTTTCGCAAGTTCAGTTTTCTAGGCCACCATGGACTAGAAAACACACCAGATGAATATAAGGTCATTTTTATGCGATTCTAACATGCTGGCCTAACTTTTGAAATTTGAGTTTCCTAGGCCACCACGTTAAAGTGACATAGAAAACGCACTTAAATCTACATTTTAGCCTAAAAATCCAATTTTTGGATTTCTAGGCCACATGACTCAAAATTTGAATTTTTAGACAATATTCTTTAAAAAGTCCCAAAACTGAAAAATTTCAAAAAAAAAGAATTTATTCCAATTCGACACAATTTTTGAAAAACGAAATGGCCAGTGATAAAATGATAATCAGCGTGGCGAGATATCCGATTCCTCCTTGAACACATCTCTCATTGCAAATGAACAGTTCCGTTGATTCCAAAATGTAGGAGGGGCTTCTTCGCGGGTTACTGTAGTTTCTGCGCACCATCACTTTTCTTGTAGTTTTTGTAGTTGTGGAATTTGAAATTTCGTCATTTTTCAAAGTTTGTCTTGTCATCTCATAGACTCTATCGAAAGTATTGCATCCGAGTGCAGATCGAACATACTGAAATTTGAAAATTTTGAATTTTTCGATTTTCTATAAATTTTTGAATTTCTGAAAATTTTGGAATCGAAAATTCCGATTTTTCGAAAAATTTGAGCTCTTGTATTTCCGAATTTTTCGATTTTCTCGAAATTCCCTTTTTCGAAGTTTTGGGTTTCCAAAATGTAGAATTTTTAGAATTTTGGGATTTTCAGATTTTTTGAAATTTTTGAAATTTCAGATTTTTCGAAATTTCGGATTTTCGAAAATTTTGAATTTCTGAATTTTTGGAATTTTTAATTTTCTGAATGTTTTAATTTTTCGAAATTTCTGAACATTTTGGATTTTTCGAAATTTTTGAATTTTTGAATTTCACAAAATTTAGTTTTTTTTAGATTTTCACACATTTAGAAATTTCAAAATTCCATTGTTCCAAAAAGTTCCAAGATTCTAAAAGTTCAATAAATTCTGAATTTCGAAATCTCGAATTTTCAAAAATGCTGTATTTTGCAATGTGGGAAATTTTTTTTGAAAAATAGAAAATTACAATTTTTAAATTTTTAAAAATTCCAGAAAATTGAGAAATATAGAATTCTTTGAAAAATTGGAAAAACAAAAATTGAGAAAACAGAGAAATGCAGAATTATATCTTTCAAAATTAGAGGTATTCAAAAATTCCATAATTCCGAAAATTCCGAAATTCTGAAAATAAAAATCATACCATCAATTTCCCCATCCACTCGTTTTCATCAATAAATGAAAACGGGCGGTTCATATAAATTTCTGGGACCGCCCGACATTGACCGAATTGAGAAACTCCTGTCCAAATGCAACTGATACGGTAGTTGCTGACGTTTGTATCCAATAAGAAACCAATTGTATCGTCCAAACACAACTCGTCCTGATAGCCTTCCAGTTTTAGTGATTCTAGATTTGAACTGAAATGTTTTTGGATTTTTGAGAATTTTTGAAATTTTAGGAAATTTGGGATTTTTGAATTTCAGATTTTTGCAAATATTTGAATGTTTTTAAAAGTTTTCGTTAAGAATCGTTGAAATTTTCGAATTTTTTTGGATTTTAAAAATATCTCGAACTTTTGTTGTCATCAATGTTTTGATAGTGCTATTTTAGACTTTTTCTAGGCAATTCATCATAGTGGCCTAGAAAAATCAACTTGCAAAAGTTAGATGTTAAAACGGCCTAAAACCCTACAAGATGAGTATCACGTCATTTCTAGGCTAATTTAACACTGTGGCCTAACATTCGCAACATGAATTTTCTAGGCCACCATGGTAAAATTGTCTAGAAATGGAGTAACATGCCCCTTGTGTGTTTTCTAAGCGATTTTACATAGTGGCCTAACTTTCGCAAGTTGAGTTTTCTAGGCCACCATGAGCTAGAAAACACCAGATGAATATGAGGTCATTTTTATGCTATTTTAACATGGTGGCCTAACATTCGCGAGTTCCGTTTTCTAGGCCACCAACTTCTATGGCCTAGAAATGATCTGATATTTACCAGGTGTCACTTTTTTAAATGTTCGAATTTTTGAATTTTTTGAACTTTCCGAATTATAGAATCTTTTAATTTTTGAATATCAGAATTTTGGAGTTTTTCCAGAATTGTCGAATTTTCAAAAAATCTGAAATTTCTTATGGGGTTATTCATGTAGCGAAATTATGTATTGAAATGCATTTCGGCGCCCTCGAAATTCGATGCAGGAACGTCGCGAAATGTATTTCAAAGCATTTCGCAACATAACTGTAAATGCATTGAAATACATAGCGTGGCGCGATATTTTGTCTGGGAAATGTGATGCACCTTCAAAGATTCGCACGATCCTTCAGAAAGCTTAAAGACTGTTATCGGTGTCCTCCCCCATACCTCAAAACTCCAACAATATTATGTTTGTTGAATGACGCAATTCGTTGTGCTGCATTTCGACGAAGCTGCCATTCGTTTTGATTCTGGACCGATGCATAGGGTCTGAAAATTACAAAAAAATTCGGATTTTAAAGATCCAAATCAGTCCAATTTGATCTTAAAATTTCAAATTTTTGAGGCGAAAACTTGAAATTTTTTATCTAAAAAATAAGTTTTTGAGCTCCAAATTGGGTGATTTTTTAGCTTTAATTCCATAGAATCTAGCTCGAAAAATTCAAGTTTCCTTACCGAAATCCAACTGGACAAAACCGATTTTCACCACATTGAACGTCGGATCTGACCCCGTTTCGAGATATGAAAAGGACCAAAAATATAAAAATTAGCACCGACTTCATCCCGTTTTTCCCTTATTTTCACTGATAAATGATTGATAAAATTGACAAATTTTTGGCCGATAAAATTTTGAAAATTTGGAATTTCGGAATTTTAGATCGTAAAAAGGTTTTGACGGGGAAAATATGGCAGATTTTTGGAGGGGATGTGGACATCTGGATCTACAGACAGACAGAAAAAAGAAAAGTTTATTTTTCTAACTACAGTAATCTTTATTCTAGCAAACTAGAATAACCCAAAAATCCCCTATCACCCTGTCGTTACAGTAATCCTAAGTACCAGAAACTACTGTAATCCTAATCGAAAATTCCTACTACAGTAGTCCTTTCAACGAGTTACAAAAAAAAATCACAAAACATGGCCATAACTTGGATTACTGTAGGTTGGTATACTGTAGTAATTTGGGCTACTTCAAATTCCAAATTTTTTGAAAAAATTCCAATATCAGAATGTTCCAAATGCACTCGGATTTTAATAGGGTGTACTGTAATAGTCTGGGTTACTGTAGGAGTACTGTAGTTAACTACAATTTACCTGTCTAGAATCCAAACGAGGGTACACTGTAGGTATACTGTAGCTTTAGAAAGCTTACAGTATACAGTAACACAGTATGCTCATCTTGAACTCAAGTGGTTAGGTTACTTAGTTAGAAATACTGTAGTGGAAATTCGGTAACTCCATGTAGTTGGGTTACTGTAGCCAGGTAAATCTTAGTTTAAAGGCATACTGTAGGTACTGTAGGGGATAAAATTGCTCATTTTCTGTAATATAACACATGAAATTATAACACATGAGAAACTTTGAAAATGTATTGATGAGCCAGACTTTTCGTCTGTTGATCCCTTTCGCCGCGTAGAGGCTCAGTACGTGAAAGAGAATCTGGTTTTTACCGGGAAAAAACCTGACAAAAAACCACTGGCATCAGGATATGGGGGGACCATATCACTGGCATCAGGATATACGGGAGTATATCGGCTCCCGGACATTTCGCAGNNTTGAACAAAATTCGGGTCACTTTTAGACCAAATTTGGAAAGTTTAAAATCAATCTTGACCATTTCAAATTTAATTTTGAGTGATTTTATGCCATTTGAGACCATTTTGGACCATTTTTAGTGAACTTTGGATCATTTAAGGATCATTTTCCAAATCATTCCTGGTCGATTTCAGACAATTTAAGTCTATTTTAGACCATTAAAATTAATTTTCAATGATTTTCGGCTATT